AAGATTTGAAAGCTGAAAATGTTACTTTGTTCATAAAACTCAAGCCTAAGCTTTTAATCATCCAAAATGTTGGTTTAGGTTGAAAATGGGTTTAAAAGAGTTGAGAGTTGATGAAAAAATAGGGGAAAATAGCTGAGAACAATAAACCATTGTAAATGTGACCTTTTTATACTTTAGAGTGTGAAAGTATATTTTTACCTCTTTTTGTTTTTGAAACTGATGAAATCTAGCGATAAATTTGGTCATTTATCAATAGATTTGGTAATGTATCAATAGATTATGAAATTTATCGATAATTGTTCATCAAGATTCTTTTTTAAAAGCATTATGGGTAAAATCTATTGATACATTTGGGCTATGTATCAATAGAATTGCTTCTAGGTAGAATCTATCAATACATTAGACCATATATCAATAGATTTCCTTTAGTAGGTAAAAAAGTAAATATTGAAAACTTGTCCAATTGAGTTCCTTTTTACACCAAATTTTACAAAACATCTTAGAACCTCAAAACATGAAATTTTCCAAAGTAAAAAACTTAATTTGATGTTTTAAAACATGAAATCTGTATATTCAACTAAGGATTCTTTTAATTTACTTCCTTACTGAAAGTGAAGTTTGACAGTTTATCATTCTCAACCATTTTTCACCAATTTTCATTAGCTCTAAGCTCGCTCAAACCCATTTTCAACCCAAATCATCATTTTGGAAATTTGCAGCTTGGATTTGAGTTTTATGAATAAACACCACAAGAAAATAGATTTTTTCCAATGGAAAATATACCATTGGAAATTTCCAATGGAATTCCAATAGAAATTTTTGTGAATTTTTTCGACAAATTTTCAATAGATTTCCAACAAAAATATACCAACGGAATATTTCTGTTGGAAAATGAGTTGGAGATTTTGTTAGCACAAAAAAAATTTTCTCCCACCAAATTTTTCAACGGATTTTCGTTAGAATTTTCTAATAGAAAATTATCTGTTGAAACTCCATCAAAAAGTTTAAGGACCCAAAAAATTAAAGCCTGTTAAAGTTTCCAACAGAATTTTTCATTGGAAAAAGCTATTACCAAGAAAAATTTTTCAACAAATTTTCCAATAGAACATTCCATTGGAAAATTTTGTTGGCAATACTACTTTTAAAATTTTTTTACTTAAAATATTTTAAAATCTTTTATAAATTTTATTAATCTTTTATAAAAATAGATATTAATAAAAGCAAATATGTACATACTGAAGTTTATAATATTTAAATATTTAAATATTTTTTCCTTTGCTTATTTTTTTACATTTTTTAAAACTTTATTGAATCATAAATTACAAATTAATAGTTTCAAATTCATTAATTTTATAATATTAAAAAATTGATAAAAATAAATTTTTATTGTAATAAAATATATGATAAGATCTAAGAATAAATTAAATAAATAATAATAATAGTTTATGCACATATTAATATTAATTAGTTAATATATATAAATTAAGAAGATAGATATATAATAAACTGATTAATATAATATGTTTAAAATATATTAATTTATTATATGTATGTATACAAATTAGAATCATAGCTATAGAATATATATATATATATATATATATATATATATATATATATATATATAAACCTGTATTATATATTCACAAAAAAAATATAACCTATTGTATTAATATAAAAGTACAAGTTATCTTCTTTAATTGATATAACTTTATAAGTTAATATATATATATATATATATATATATGCATATGAGATATTAAAATATCCTACATATATATATATATATGTTAATATGTTTTATATGTAAGCTTATAGTAAATTTATTTATATGATTACAGTTATTAACTTTATTAGTTATTATCATAGTTTTTATAAATTATATTGAAAATTAATTATACAAACTTTGTAATATATATCAAATTATAACATGCAATTTGTGTCATTAATATATATATAATAAATTAAGTAATATAACATTATGTTTTACATTAATTAAATTCATATATGATCATTTTAATATTACTTTGAGTACTTCATCTTTTACGATTAGTTTCATATTATAATTTTAATAATTAAAATCCTGAGTACTATTTATAAATAAATATATAAATATATATAACACCATATATAAGGTATACAAAAATAATAATACTTGATGTATACTAATATTAGTTAATATAAATTCAAAAGAATTGATTATAAGCTTAATTAATAATATATACTTAAAAGAGGAAATTGTGAGAAATGACCTTCGTCATAAGGTCACTTCAAAAATGACCTCCATTATAATTTTAACTGTTTCTAGACAATTTTAGGCTAGAGTTCACAAAAATACCCTTTAAACCATTTAATCCAAATAAAGTGGTTTTAGTTTCTTTCTCCTCTCTGGCCTTTCAAATAAAAACTCAAAAATTAAATCTCGACTTAGCTATCCCTCCGTCTAGATCTCTAACACCATCGGGGTATATATCTCACCGTCTAGCTCTCCAACACCATCGAGGTCTATATCGCCATCCAACTTTCTACGATCCAAAGTACAGAGATGACATCAAGGTATTTGTTATGGGTTCTTGGGTTTTCTTTTTTAATATTCATAGAATGTAGAAGTTAATAGGTAAATTATATCAGATTAGTTTGAAAACTTAAATCTGGCTGGGAGTAGCAAAATCATTCAGTTTAGAGGCGATGCGTGAATATTTGTTAGGCATTGCGTCAGCTATTTCTTTGGATAATGGGGTATATGACGGGATATTAGGAATCGTAACTTGTTTATTTGGCATTACATGACTGAATATTTGTTGAGCATTGTGTGACTTGTTTGTAAGCATTGCGTGACTTTATCTCCCTAATTCTAAAGGTGATTATCTACTGATTCAACCAATTCAACCCCTTTAATTGCATTGAACCAATTCAGCCCCCTTAATTGCACTTAACCAATTCGGCCCCCTTAATTACACTTATATCGACATTCAAAAAAAATTTCACTTATATCGTGCATAGAAAACGAAGAGCCAGCATTCATGCCTATAAATAAAGGGAACCATTA